TCCTGCCGTCCTTCTCCACTCTGATGCGAGTGTGCCTTCTGCCCATCCTCCCTCCTGCCGTCCCCCCCAAGTCTGCCCCCTGTTGCACAGAGCTCTCCCTTAGCAAACATGGTTCGTTTGAGGCCCTCACTTCTCCCTGCCTTCTCACAAGCCCAAGCAAGAATTAAAAATCAACACCCGGGATGCATTTTGATTTTGATTAAAAATCAAAACCCCCGGGACGCATTTGCCAATCTGCCAAGGAACTCAGAGTTCAGGTCCCCGGGCACCGAGGCCTTCTCCTGCACAAGCCGCCTGAAATGGACAGAGGCAGCCCAAAGCACCCTTCCTCTCTGAAACAAGGCCAGGAGGGTTTATTCTGAGGATTCCTTGTCATCCTAGATGTAGCACAGATGAACAGTCGCTAGGGAAGAAATCAGCTGTACTAGATGCCAAGTATCTTTCCATAATTAAAAGATGCCTTCCTTCCTAGAGTTTTGCCCCAAAGCTCCCAGTGGTTGGCAGTAAGAATAGAGGCATTGACAGCCCTAGAATCGCACCCACGGAGAACCATGAAACCGCAGGGAAGTCAGCATCAAGCCAGCCTGGATGCAACACGGCCTCCCCCAGGAGAACAGGATTGTCTTCCCTTGGCGCTGATGAACTAGTCAAGCCTGGGCCAATCCAGATCAAGCCAGCCAGATTTTTACAGCTGGATCTGAATCACTGGCTAAATTCAGACGACATGAAGCAGGTGGCCTTTTTAGAGTCCCTGCCCTGGCATCCCCCAGATGTGTGGGTGCTGTAGGCCAGGAAACACAGCCCAACACAGCTGGGGGAGGCTCAGCCGGAAGTGTGCATGGCAGAAAAGCCATGCCTGCAAACACGCCAGGTGTGTAGATGTTGATCAGAGAATCCAAGTTTTCTTTAGTGCAGGATTTTATTTATTTATTAATCAAATTTGTACGGCCACCCATCTCACAAAAAGTGACTCTGGGCGGCATACAATGGTCCAATAAAAGAGTAAATATAGTAATTATTAAAAACATTAAAAACAAGCTAAAACTAAGATTTAGGACAACTAGAGGATGAATTGCCATGGATATGTTTGTGTCTGTATGTACGTGAAAATTCAGCTTACCCTTCTCTCCTCTCCGCAGTTTATCACTATCAGTTTAAAATCCATTTCATCCACGAGTTCCAAGAACGACAAATTGATCCAACATTCACCATCTCTCTGACTGGCAACAAAGATGACGTTGAAAATCTCTCCATCACTTTGTGAGTTCCAAATGTTGCCCAACTTGCTCCTTGGCTCCAGGATCCGTAACACTCACATTTTTGGCCCATGCCCATTTGCCAGGGCGGAGAAATAACGTGGCTAGTGCCACAGGCCTTGGCACAAAAGCCATGCTTCGCATCACTTAGTGTCCTGACATGTTCTCTTGCTGAGGTGGGTTACCTCGAGGCCTTCACGTGGAGAAAAGCGGCACATGCACAGGTGGCCCCTTTATGCCTTCCCATCTCTTCCAGGAATCTTGAGATCTTGGAGCCCAGATGTCCGTACCACATCATTTCCACGTCTGCTCTTTTATTGCCCTTCTCAGTCCACTGAGTCTTCTTGCATCATTTCACTGAGTCAATAAAATAAACCACAGCTATGTGGATACTTTTTATGATTTATGCCTGTAATCATTTAACATCCTGGTGTGTTTTGAACTGGGAGCTCTGCCACTGCTGCTGCTAAAGGGGCACATGGCAAAGGCAACGGGGTGGAAATGCAGGTCACAAATAAATGAACACACAAAGGAGCAGATCACGGTGTGCAGCGAAATCCCGGCAGATGTGCTTTAGCGGTGTTTGTCCTTCTCCCCATTAGAATTGAAGGCATCACTCGAAATAAAACCTACACCTTTCTTGTTCCTCTGGATATTGATATTGGGGAGCTGATGATGATCAAACTGAAGTGGGAAGGAACTGCCATCTGGGAGAACATCTGGGACACTGTCCAAACCATTATCCCTTGGAGAAAGGGAGACCGTCGGCCAGGACTTATTGTGAGGTCCATACGAGTCAAGGCAGGAGAAACTCAGCAGAAGTAAGTGTGCTCAGATCCCGCCAGACGTGGAGTCCGAAAGCGGCCGGCCGGCCTGCCAGCCAGTGGGCTCGCTCTCTGCGCCAAGCTCTTTGCTCAAAGCCACCTGTCCCCATTGCACAGTTCTCATACTGCACCCTGCCTTGCGGAAGAAACTGACTGTTGGTTTATTAATTAATCTTTCTGTTTTCCTTCTTTTCAGAATGACATTCTGTTCTCAACGTGTGGATAATTTGCACCTCTATCCAGGTCATGAGAAAATGTTTGTGAGATGCGAAGTCAGTTCCCAACAGCTGCAGTGAGGGTAGGGATGATAAGCAAGAATTTGAAAAAGCTGCCAAGGCCCGGAAGAGGTGCTTCTCACCTTTATCTTTCTTTTCCTTAGAAAAAGAAAAGAAAAAAGAAACACCTTTGTATTATTATTATTTTTTTTGTACAAACGTGTGCAACATGAAAAATGTGATGGACCAGGAAGTACTGTAAACGATGTATGTCCAAGGCTTGATTGATTAAACAAATAAAAAGTGAATAAAAAGTGAAAACTACTAAACTAAATCAGCCTTATGAGTCTAGAAAGACAATTAATAGTCCAAGATCTCTGGTCTTTGGACTGAAAAGTAGTTTTATTTCTTGAAAGGGGAGGTTGGACTATTAAGAAGTCTCACTGTAAGATTCCTGGCGTATTACTGTTGGTGGTCCCCTGGGGGGGGTGGGGTCCCAAATCACTTTTATTTTGGCCATGCTGGCTATGGCGGATAAGAATTGGACACCAAAAACATTTGAATGGCTAATTCTGATCCACAAACACAACATTTGGAAAGTAACGTCAAACACAATTACTTCAGTAAAAATTAGGGCTGCTTTCAGAATCCAGATTCACTTTGATGCATCGAAAAAGCAGCCTTTTAGACAGTTCTGAAAAAAGATACCATTTCATCTTATTCAAGAAAGTAAGCCTTATAATAATGGCATCACATCACGCTAATGTGAAGGTGAGGGAACTGCCCGCCAGCCCCACTTTTTCCATTGCTAGAGAAGTTAATCTGGACGTGTAATTCCAGACCACTGTCCATATTAGCTGAAGCCTGGCATTCAGGTTCTGAAGACTGTGCGCTTAATCAAATACCCAGCGGGATGTGAAGTGAAAAGAAGCGTCTCCAGGTAAGTGTGTTTTTTCAGACCTGCCGTACAAGGGCCTTTTTCGTAACATGCTTTTAGAAGAGGTAGAGCTGAGTAACAGCAACGGCCACCTTGAGATATTTAGACCGACCTTGCCCGATAGTTGTACCACAAGCTTGTGGGAAGGAGAGGAGACGCTGCATTTCATATACAGACATCCATTTTTTTCTGCCATATGGCACAAACACACGATATATTAAATGTTTTTCCATTTGCATCTGTTGCTGACTGTTGTCCAGAATCCCAGGATAATAATAGCAATGGAGTTGCTAGAGTGCAAAGAATATAGTAGCTGTGCAGATTAATGCTTTCAAAAAGATGAAGCAAAAGGCACGCTCTGTTTTTTTAAAAACTTCTCTGTTTCCAAGCGAATGCAGGAATGGGATCTGCCTTGCCAAGCCCTATAATTAACAGCTGTTCTCCACCTAATTCCATTCGGCCAGGCACAGAAGAGCGCAGGGGTGTCCGCAAAGGTAAAAAAAGACCCAAGGGGGTGGCTGCAGCCACGGGATCCAGGCGCTCTCCTTTTTACAGTGTGTGCCAATGTTGTAAGAAATGGGAGGGGCCCCATCTGCATGCTCGTGGCTGCCATTTTGCCTTTTTTTTGGCACACCCCCACCCCGGAAGACACCCCTGGGGGAATGGCGCCGTCATAGGAAAGCTAGGAGCGGGCGGTCCCATCTTCCTCCAGCCCTGCCTCTTCTGCAACGGGAGCCTTAACTGAAGCGCAAAGGCTGAATCCACGTCCGGTGAGATGCAAAGCGCCATTGGGCCAGGTGTCCAAGCTGCTGCCAATTTAGATCAGTGTTTCTCCACCTCAGCAGTGGTAAGATAGGTGGACTTCAACTCCCAGAATCCCCCAGCCACCTGTCTTCACGTTGCAGAGGCTGAGACACACCGATTAATATTAAAGTTTTCATTCTCTACGCCCCAGCTAGAAAAGCCTCCGGATCGATAGAGACGCACAAAGGGCAACCGATGACTTGAATCCGTCATCGCAACACCTGAAAAGACCTGGCCTGCAATCACAGGATCTTAGATCCAGCACGGAAGGAAGAAGGGGGGCATCGATATTCCCGAGGGGTGGGTGGCCAGCGGGCCAGAGAAGCCTCCAGGAATCCAAGCTCTGCTTCCTCTCCAGGGACCCAAACCCCGTCCCCGTCCCCCCTTGGCTTCTCCTGGGGAAACGACCCTCCTTCCAAGCCCGGTGGGGTGTCCCGCGCTCCCTCCCTCCCTCCCTCCCTCCCTCCCTCGGCCTGGGGCCCTCTTGCCTTCCGCAAGGAAGCGGTGATCTCCCTGAGTGTCAGGATCCCCCAGTCCCCGTGCGGGGAGATAACCAAGTCGCGGGCTGGGACGCCGGAGGGGACCTGCAGGGGCAGGAAGGCTGGGCTGGAAGGAGGTCCACGCAGGGCCGGGCCGGGCCGGGCGCTGCCCTCTCCTCCACTGCCCTGGTCCCTCTTTAGCCCCGGCTGACGTTTTGTGGGAGAGCAAAACGGGGCCGCGCAGATCCGTGGCTCGGGGTATTTTGAAGACTCTTGCAGGATGTCTTCAACCACAGTTGCAGAATTGCCGCTTTATGGCTAGTGACACAGAAAACAAAGATTTAAAATGTCATTTGGAATCCAAATAAGCAGACTGGTAAAGAAAGAGAGACCATTCTCGCCCTCAGTATTACAGTTATATTTGGAGTCATCCTCAAAAAGGACGTCAAAATTTAATCAGACTAAAATGCTGTTTTAGGTGCATCAAACGGGACTTTTTATAATCCCTTTTTGTTCTCTGATTTGAGATCAATGTGCCAGGTAAGCAAAGGGCCTGGCGCTTCAGAAGTTCGCTCCTGGATTCCCCCAGGTGCCCTGAAGTAGATGCCCAGACTGAGATCCTGGGAAATTCATGTTTCCCTGGGCATATCAACCGATCCATGTAAAGCCACCTCTTCCCTTCATGTGAATTAATTAAAAATCGTAATGGGAAAATGGGAATGTCTGTCTGTGAAGTTCTATTTTCCACGTGCCACGGGAAGCATTCCTCATCTCAGGACGGCCCCTATCCCGGAGCAGGGAGGCAGAAGCTGGGGAGGCAGCGATGCCGGAGATGGGGGGAAGCCACGGGAGATCGCTCGGAGCCAGACCCAAGAAGACCCCAGAAAGGGCAGAGGGGAAAAGGCACAAAGGCAGAGACACCCTCCCCCCTGTTCAGCCCTGGGTTTACAGTGGGGCACCCAGATGCGCCTGGTGGGGAAGGAGAGGAAGTGGGAAAAGGCAGGCATAGGGGGCTGGCCTGGTTTCTTTCCTTTTGCCTTGGGGGAGCTGGGGGGGCCAAAGAGCAGCCCAGCGTTTGGGCAAAGGCTGCCCTCCTCTGGATTCTCCATCTCCGGGGAGCAGTTTCTCCCCGGGGGCTGCCCAACAACCCACCCCACAGGGCCCCCAGGCACTACTGCCCCAGAGGTCCCTCGACCTTCTTAGCCCAGGCGGATGGTCCCTTCTGGCCGTCCGAGGCCGAGGGGCTGAGGCAACAGAAAAGGCCGGGCTCCCTGGGCTTCTCTTGCCTGAGGCCCCGTGGGAGAGGCAAGGGAGCACAAGGGGGCTGGTGGGGCCCCAACCCCTCCACAGGGCCACGAGTCTCCATTGAGCCACCCAGATGGACTTTGGCTGGAAGGAGGTTTGCGGGCCCCCTTTGCCGCAGTGGGAGGACCAGCCCAGACCCCAAATCTCGGACTGTGACTGGGGGAGGCCGATCCCAGCCTTAATGTTCCACCCCCCTTTTTGCAGCAAGGCCCCTCCTGCCCCCCCCGGCCTTGGGAGTTGGGCCGGAAAGGGAGAGGAAGCAGTTGCTCCGAGGACAGAGCCCTGGGCAGAGGGGCCCGTGGCATCTGTGCACAGGAGAATCCAGGGAGGAGTGGGCTCTCTAGGGCTCCAATCCAGCCCATCTCT